TTCTTTCTTTCTTTCTTTCTTTCTTTCTTTCTTTCTTTCTTTCTTTCTTTCAACTTCCCCTGATCGTCCTGGAGGCCAAGGTCAGGGCTTAAACATGTTGGCAGACACAGCCCACTTCCATTTTTCCCTTTGGCTGAGAAGACCACCCTTTCATTTGCAGAAAGGTCAAGTGGACCCTGCAAGGATACAAATGCCCCAGGTCAGAGGGAGACAGAGGCCCTGAGTGGGCCTGACCACCCCACCCAAGCCCCTGCCGGACCCCTGGCCCAGGCCTTTCCCTCTGTCCTCCAGAAATGACTTACCAGGGCCTCCTCAAAGCACGGAGGCTATGGCCAGGAAGCCGGTCCTCTAGCCCAGGGACATCAGGTCCAATTAACCTGGTGACCAGGGACAGTGCTAGACTGGCCTCAACCCCAGATTAATAAACAACTGTCCTTAGAACCGCTGTCTACTGCGGTAGCTCCCTAGCGCCACTGCTGGGGTCCGTGGCCCAGCACTGGGCAGCTCACTCCTTGAAGAGCCTGCAGTCCTCCCTCTGCTGCTCCCTCCCATGCATCCCTGCAGCTCCATCCCTCTGACTCTCCAGAGTCTTAGTCTAGACAATACTTTCCTCCACATATTTATTTCTAGAAGAGACATGATTAGAAATTCCACCGAACACACACTCATGTTTGAGCATGCGCATGTCCACGGTCCGCCTACACGTACCGGCTCACACTTCTGTGTCAGTTCCCCCGCTCCCACTTGTGTCTGGTTCAGGGTGGGGTGGGGGGTTGGGAGGGATTAAACACTGAGTCGCCTCATTCCTCCCTGCTCATTCACAACATTTATCAAAGGTCTTCTTTGGATGAGGCGCAGATGTCCCAGGGCGAGGCAGAGGGGGGGAGTATTTGTAGTAATTCAAGTTCAAGGCTGGATGTGGGTACTTGCACTATAGCTGTTCCACCCTAGGATGCTTGCCTCTATCTTTGCATGATTATTGTCATTCACATTGCAGTTTAAATATTCTGTCTGGAGAAAGGGCTTTCCACTACCATTTAATTTTTTTTTTTTTAAGATTTTTACTTATTTATTTGACAGAGAGAAGAGACAGCGAGAGAGGGAACACAAGCAGAGGGAGCAGAAGAGGGAGAAGCAGGCTTCCCGCCGAGCAGGGAGCCCGACGTGGGGCTCGATCCCAGGACCCTGGGATCATGACCTGAGCCGAAGGCAGACGCTTTACAACTGACTGAGCTACCCAAGAGCCCCTCTATCATTTATTTTTAAGTAGCCACTCCATCCTGTCTTTCTGTTTTAATTCTCTGCCTATAATAGCTATCCCTGTAAAACTGTCTTGTTTATTTAGTTGCACATTCATTGACCGTTGCCCTCCTTTAGAACAAGAACTCCTTCAGAACAGGGATCTTGTCCTCAACTGTTGCTGCCCCACTCAGAAGGGTGCCTGGAAGCAGTCACCACCACTGGGAAGGGTGCCTGGAAACAGACACCGCCGCTGGGAAGGGTGCCTGGAAACAGACACCGCCGCTGGGAAGGGTGCCTGGAAACAGACACCGCCGCTGGGAAGGGTGCCTGGAAACAGTCACTGAGTGAATGGGTCCTTCCGCATGGCCTCCTCAGAGCAGCTCCCTGACTGCTCTCCCCCAAGAGCTAATATCGGTGCCCACGCTCCCAGCTACTTCTCTAGGACAGGAGCTGTGTTTGCCTCACTGGCTTGTCCCCACGGTGCACCCCAGGGCTGGGCACAGAGGAAGGGTCGCCTGAGAGAGCGGGCGTGGGGGAGGAGCGGAGACCATGAGCAGGAGCAGGTGGTTGGCCAGTCCTCGGTGCCTCCGCGCCTGGTTTCCAGCAGCGTCTGCTTCTTATCTCCAGCACCTCATCAAGTGGCCTTTTTCATGTGCCTGACCTGACCTTTGATTCCTGCCCTCCCCCAATTTACACTCACTCTCTGAAACACTTAGTCTTACCAAATAGCTCGAGAGGTTTGTTCTTTCCCTGGTGGGGAGTCGGGGTGGGGCCACTTCCCTTTGACTCTGCCTTGTGATTGGTGTTCTGGCTTCTTGAGGGTCATCCGCTCTGTATACTCGAAGTCACTAAGCCCTGTTCGGCAGCCCTCCCAGATTCCTGGGGCCCCCTGTACAGAAGACCCCTCTCAGGGCTGTGTTTCCTGATGCCATTGACATAACTGTGAAGGGCCCCAGGCCCAGAGGACAAAGAACATCCGACTCATGCAACAAATGAGCGGACTTCCCAGAAGGGTGGGAGTTTGAAACAGAGAATTACATAAACCAGGACCCTCTATGCTACAGACTAGAGGAAAAGTGGCTTGGGGAAGCAGGGGAGACAATATGGCCGGAGGAGGGAGGAATGAGCAAAGAAAGGGACAATAAGAAAGCCTTGACTTTGCTGGGGAAAAGATCCACCTCTCAGGATGTGTACTTTTAGTCTGTCCTCGCCGAAGGCCTGGGTTTTTTGTTTTTTGTTTTTTTTAAAGATTTTATTTATTTATTTGAGAGAGAGAGCACGAGAAGGAAGAGGGGCAGAGGGAGAAGCAGACTCCCCGCGGAGCAGGGAGCCCGATGCAAGACTCGATCCCAGGACCCTGGATCATGACCTGAGCCGAAGGCAGGCGCTTATCCAACTGAGCCACCCGGGCGCCCTAGGCCTGGGTTTTAAAGAACGCTACACACTATTATTATTCTGCCAAGATGATGATTATCGAATTTTGCTATTTATGGCAAGATGACAAAGAGTTTTTCAAGCGTCTCAGCTCGTCACACCCTAGTGCACCATAGGGACATGCATGCTAGGTGCCTCAGGATTTTCTCAGGTGGCCATCGGCTAAGTTTGAGATCCCCTTGTAAAAATTACCAAACACAGTAGGAAATAAGCAGAAGGAAAGCTGACTGATACTACAAGCCTCAGAAGGAGTCCTCCCAGGACAGCTGTCTCTATAAACAGATACATTGGTATTTTTATTTTTATTTATTTTTAAAGATTTTACTTATTTTTGTCAGAGAGAGCAAGAGTGAGAGAGAGAGAGCACAAGCAGGGGGAGCGGCAGGCAGAGCAGGCAGAGAGAGAAGTGGGCTCTGACACGGGACTCGAACCCGGGACCCTAAGATCATGACCTGAGCCGACCGAGCCACCCAGATGTCCCAAATTGATATTTTTTAAAAGACAATATAAGAAAGAAAGAAGCAAAGAAAGAATAAAAGTTTAAACAAATTAATGAATTAGAATAAGGAAATAACTATAAAGCTAATAATACAATTTAAAAAAAACTGGTTCTTTGCAAAAATAAAATAAATAAACTTGGCAAATTTGACCAGAGAAGTTTGGACTATTTTTCCTGATATTTTATTTCTCCGTATCATAGAATTATACATCTGTGACCTTGGCCATGGGACTTTGTGGAGCCTGCCTTAGAGCATGCGGCGTCCTCTACATCCTGCCCCCTGGGACATTCGGCTTGGCCGTGTGACCGTGAGACCTTTTGTGTCTACAAAAGGAATAGCAGCTTTACATGTGCTTGTGTGTTTAACCTGGCCTCTTCTGGTTTTTCCAATCATGGGAAGAATATGACCCCACTACCACTAATATCAGATTAATTAAACAATGTGGAGCAGACACAAATGCGCCAGAAGTCAAAAGCAGCAGTTGAAGTCTAGGCATGCATCCGTGGTCAATAGCACAGTCTCTGGAATCTGACTTTGTGTATTCATAGCCCAGACGGCACTTGAACTGGCTGCATGGCCTTTGGCAAATCGCTTTAACCTCTATGTGCCTCAGTATTCTTATTTGTAAACTGGGGACAGTAATGACATCTACATAATAGGGTTAATGTGGATCACATGAGTTAGTATGAGTGTAGTTCCTGGCACAGAGTAAATGTGATGAGAGTATCAGCCCCTAGACCGAGGGGGGTATATCCCAGCAATGAAAGGATGGTTCAATATCAAAAAATAAATCCATGTAACTCACTAATATAATATATAACAAGTTTGATGAAGAGTCTTAAAGCAGGTATGTACAATCTGGAAACCTGAAGCTCACCCTGTTCTCAAAATGAATATATGGTCTCACAATTTTTCATACATTCTTTTTTTTAATTTTTTAAAATTTTTTTAAAATTTTTTATTGTTCTTCATACATTCTTTTCCCTAGACCCCTGCATTGCAAACTATCTAGGACTGATTTATTTATTTATTTATTAAAAGATTTTTATTTATTTATTTATTTATTTGACAGAGAGAGATAGCGAGAGAGGGAACACAGCATAGGGGAGCTGGAGAGGGAGAAGCAAGCTCCCTGAACACCACCACCTTAGGGCCATGGAAAACATTCAGGCGGCTAAGGGGAAAATGGAAGGCATGATATTATCACCCACAAAGGAAGCATGTGGAGTTAGCTTAGGAGTTACCCTAATGCCGGCCATCAACATGAATGCCCATATGTTCTTCCAGATATTTTCTGTAGCTTGCCATACGTTTGTACAACTTAAGGGTGGAAAGCAGGTTGCCCCTCCCACCCAACAAAGAAGGTACTACCCGAGATTGAATTTTCCATTTTTGAGGTAAGTGGGGGCTCAGAGCCAGAGTTAATTTGATTTCTAGAGATACAGAAACGTGTTATTTCTTGAAACCAAAGCAATGAAAACTCATGTTAACGCAGTCATGATTTATTACACTTCAGTCACCTCTGTCCAGTAAGAGGCAAGGTCGTTATGAGCATGAGCTTCAGGTCCAGGTAGATAGGTTTGAATAAGCCTCTTCCACTTTTGCTCCAAGTAATACAATTCAAAACATTTAACTTCTCTAAGTTTGTGTCCTCATATGAAAATGGGGGAAAATCAGGCTGGGCCCATGGCATTGTGTAAAGATTAAATCATATTCCATAAGATGTTTTAGAAGTGCTTGGCAAGGTTCTGCGTACATAGACTTGGCACATATGCTATTTATGTGATCGATCAACTGCCAATGGTGTGGTGAGGGGTGTGAACACCTCACTGAGATCCAAAAAGAGGTGCAGACACGTCCATCAGCCGGAGTTACTTGGATTATGTCTGGGTCGGGGGTGAGATCTTCCCTAGGGGTGTAGAGACTGGCTGCTTTTTGGTCAGGAAGTTGAGAGGCAACCCAAGACTCAAGGCAACTATTAGGGTTAGGTTGGCCTCCACAATATGCTGAGGCACCACCCGGCCCTCTGACCTCACGGAGACACCGACCAGATGTGCCCTCAGAGGCTCCGGGCTGCCAGATAACCCCAAATGGGTCCTTAGCTCCACACATGTGGAATTCCCCAGAGGTCCCCCTCTTCTATCATTGTGCTTGACCAGAACCGCCAAATCTTGCTGAGGCTGGGCAGCAGGTGGTCTGCAGAGTGAGGGGGGAGGGGGGCCGGGAAGCCGGCACCTGCTGTGTGATTTTGGAGGGAACTTCCAACCCAGGACCTCACTGCTGCCATCTAGCAACGAAGGAACCAGACAAGAGGAGGAAGAAAGAAGTCTCCGACTCTTGCCCAAAGGCAAAGTTAGGAGTGGCGCCTGGAGTGCGGGGCTGAGAAGGGGCTGGGGGTGGTGGGGCGTGTCAGACTGATTCCTGATTCCTGATGCGGGTGAGGATTTGGAGCCTGTCCAGGGAGCGGAGGGGCTAAGAATGCTCTAAGGGCCACAAATACATTTTGTCGGGAAGGAGCTGAAGCGTGTCAGAGCTCAGGCACATCCTCCTGCGGGAGGCTGGCCAAGGCAGGGCCCTATCTATCGGGCGGCCCAGGGGCCTGCTCAGAACTCACAGATGGCCAGCCGGTACTGCAAGCAATTTTTGTCATTCCACTGCCCATCTGTGTACATCTCCACACACTTGTCCTTGCCCCACCCCCTGGGCTCCCCAGGGTACCAGTTGGTGTAGTTCACAGGGGACCCATCCATGTAGAGGAGGCCCGCCGAGTCGGGGCTCTCCATCAGGCCCAGGTAGGCGTAAGTGTTGTACTTCTTCACGATGCTTGCAATGGCTTCATTCTCTTCCGGGCTCGTCGGGGCAGCAATGCGGCCACCTGCTCTGGCACATAACTCTTGAATGTCCTCAAACTTAACTGACCGCCCGTTGCTGGAGAAGACCTTCTCTCCCACGACCAGCATGGACTCCCGTAAGCTGAGGACTGAGGCAGAGAAACCGAGTCAGGCCGCCGGCTGCTCTGGCTGGAAGTCCCTGTCCCTCGCCCGGGCTCCCTGTCCTCGTGCCTTCTCTGCCTCTCCTCCCCTGCCAACCCGAGTCTTCCTCAGTCCCCCTCCCTGCTCTCCTCATTCTATTCATTCGTTCACCCATTGCACAGTTACTGATGGACCATCTGTTATGTGCCAGAAACTGCAATTTCCTGAGACTCAATAGAAGGCAAGTTAGGCAGAGAACTTACGCTCCCCTGACATAGGGAGCTGATCTGTGTCTACCTCTGTCTCCTCGGGGCCATTCGAAGACATCAGGAAAGGGAAGTATTGTTTTTTCCCCCCAAAACCTGCCCATCCACACCTGCTTGTCAAGTCTCGAGGTTCTGGAGCCCGGCGCTGGGAACGAGGGAACTTAAGGGAGACCCTCCATGCTATAAGGCCCTGGGGAGCCCCCCCTTACCTCCCATGGCCTGCAGGACTTGACGTCTGAACTTGTAGAGTGTGGTTTGGAGCTCCTCATCTAAAGAAGCTGGAAGCCCTGTCAAGAGATTCCCACCCAAGATCAGGGGCAAGCCAACCAAGATCCTGACTTGCGGCCAGGCAGGCACAACGCCAGCTGCAGGCCTGGCATTCGGCCCTTTACTTGTCCACACCCACTGCTCAGGCCCTGGAGTGTGTCTCCACACTGCCTACGCCCTTGTGCTTTGATGCAGCCCTGCACCTGCTGAGCCCCTGCCTGCCCTTCTTTCCTGCCCTGTCCTTTAACGGCTCTGTCAGAAAAACCCACAGGATTTTTCTGGTTTGGGGGCAGGGTCCTCTCCCTCCGCCTCCACCAAAGGCAAACAAACTATACCTCTCCTTCTCTCTCTGGCCTGGCTGAGACATGGAGTGGTCTACCTGCCTGGCAAAACAGGCTTTCACCGTGGTCTCTACCCCTGATCTTGAACCATTGTCCTCCCTCAACCTCACGCCACCCCCGCCTGCCACCCAGCAGCTCAGTTAATAGTGGGCACTCGTCCAGGAAGCAGGATTTCAAACACTGAAGTAAGAAGCTGCTCTGAAGGAGAGGGACAGCACGTGGTTCTCTCGGCACTCTCCTGATGGACCTTGGTCACCACTCCGAGCTCTGGAGTTCCCCTTTGTATGTAGGGGCTCCCATTCCCATCATCTACTGAGAGCCCAGATAACCCTGTACACCCTTCGGAATGCCCCCTGGGCCCCAGCCCCAGGAAATGCCTTCCCTGCCTCCCAGCGCTTGTCCTCGCCCCACACCTGATGCTCATCAGCGTCGTGACGTGTGGAGCCCTTCCAACACCCACCAGTCCTCGCCATGGCCTACTACCCGGGCATGTCGGACTCCTCTCCTCGGCCTCGTCTTCTCTCACTTAGGTTGAGTAGGATGCCCTTTGGGGACCTCCACGGTTCTGTCTGACCCCCGCTATCCCTCACGTAACTGGTCACATGGGCGCAGTGCCCGTGTTGCTGTGGCCGGCTTGCCCAGCCCTGCTTACCTGGAGGGCCCCTCTCACCAGGCTCCCCCTTTTCTCCACGCTCTCCAGCAACACCCAGGGATCCAATCACCCCCTCAGGCCCGGAGTAGCCTGGCATTCCTCCAGGGGGTCCCCTGGGGCCTGCAGAGAGAAGGGGACATGGATGTGTGGTATTTATCACCCACAGCAGGGCTGAGGCTGATGTGAAGGGACGTCTCTTAGCAGCTGAGCTGACTCACCTGTCACCCCATGGGCACTTTGAGGGCAACCTCTCCAGGGCTGCTCCAGTCTAAGGCCCCCAGGCAACTCCCACCATGCCCCGCCATCCCGCTGACCTTGGGACCCGGCCCAGAGCCCGGGACAGGTGGGCCTCCTGGAAACAGGTCACGGTCCCTCAGCTGAGGGTAGGGTCTCACCCAGTACCTGGAGGCCCGGGGTCTCCTTTGACGCCGTCTCTCCCATCTCTGCCTGGCAAGCCATGGGATCCAGGAGTGCCAGGGATGCCGGGGCTGCCAATACAGACATCCTTCACATTGTACTCCATGCCAGAAACCATCAGCAAGGTGAAGGTGAGGGCCAAAGAGCACAGCAACATGGCTTCTGTTCCAGAGACTCCTCCTGCAGAGAGAAAGCACCATTGGCTCATTGAGGCATCTGCGAAGGTTTGTCAAGATTCAGGCACACGGCCGAGGCTGAGGCACTTTGGGAAAAACCCAGCTTGTCCTCGGAAGCTCCTAGCATCATCTGCGGTTTCACACCACACCTCTGGGGCTGGAGGGGTGTGGTACCTGGGCTGGTGAGGAGGACCTGGACAGTCAGAGGGTCTGGCTTCTAATGCAGTCTTGTGATGTGACCATGGGAAACTCGCATCACCTTCTTCTGTGCCCTGGAGACAATCCTGACCTGTCCCTCCAGGCTGTTGGGAGGAGGGATGGCGTCACTCCCTCCCTCTGTTCTTATACTCTCAGCTACACTCCTTGCAGGGTCAGAGTATGAGGATATTTGCAAGCCCACCTTTCTGCATCCACCGTTAATGATTCTGGGCACGACTCTCCGTGGTACACGAGGAGGCCCCCTCCTTCCCAGTCTGGCGCTTAGTTATGCCTGTGACCACTGGGCTCATTGCCTGCCCCGTGCCCTGGGTAAGACCACAGGGATGGGGCTACACTCACCCATAGAAACAGAGCCCCTGTGGATCTCTGCCGTCAGGTCTGAGTGGGGAGTCAGGCAGCACCATTTATATGCATGCAGGCTACCAGGCTTACCTCTCCACCCCAGAGAGGGTCCTGTCACAAGGGCCTCTTTTTGGGGAAGGGCCGGTCAGGAAGCAACCATCTTGTTTACACAGCAACATTCCTTCACAGAGCACTTAGGCTGGAGGGCCACTTAGGACCTGCTAACATCTCAGGGGGTGGACCCCCTCTCCCCGTGCCAGCTTCTCCAGCGGTGAAGGACGAGAGCCCTTACCCAGGCACCAGTGAGGGCATGCAGCGAAGGGAGGCTTCGTCCTGCTGGGCCTCGGCCCAGTCCTGTCTGGTGACACATTCGTAGTACCACCATCACATCCTCCAGATGCCCACCAGCACGAGAGAACATAGCAGGCTGCCCTCCTTCCCCAGGGGAGCAAAGAGGCCAATCAGCCACGGACAGGATGTCTCCATGTGACCCCCTCCGGGGGCCATTCCAGCTCCAGAGCCTCTTCGTCCTTGGGAGGGGGGCCATTTGGTTCCAGGCAGTACAGAGGCCATGGCTCAGGAGGAGGGTGGTCAGGTGGAGCTGGGACGAACTGTGTGTCCTGGGACATGTCTCACCACTGAGCGGCCCAGCACCGTCCCCACGCTGGTCTCCCAGCCCCTGCTTCTGGAGCCCCTGGTGACGTCGGTGGGCACATGGCTCAGAGTCACAGGCAAACCCTTTGCATGTTCCCCGTTCCCCTGCTCGGGCCGGCTCAGCAGCGGGGAGGCAGGGCCATGCCTGGAAGGTCACAGGAGAGCAGCGCCTTCTGGTTTGGGCTATGGGTGATGTCTGTAACCTGCAGTGGTGATTGCTTTTTTAAGTGATGGGATAGCACACAAAGCCCTGACTGGTGAGATCCCCTATTGAGGCCACCAGATGCAGGGGGGAATCTCTCTCTGGAGGGGGTGCTAAGAATGGGGAGCTAAGGCCAGAAAAAATCACTATGTTTGGTTGTAAGTGGTTTAAAAATCTCGAGATCCTCAGGAAAAGTGAGAGAACTTTGGGAGAGTGGGGGCTCAGCTAAAAGAACCCCACTCCTAAGAGCAGAGAGCCAGCCCGAACCCTGCTGCTGCCTGCCACCGCCTCGGTGTGGGTGCCAGCCAAGTAGGATGGGGGGGCCGGGGCCAGCACAGGGCTGGGGTGGGTGGGGGAGCAGTTCCATCAAAGGAAACTCAACATGGTTTGGGTGAAGGAGGACTGTTCTGCAGGTGAAGGAATAGGAACAGGGGTCTCCTTGGGTGGATTTTGAAGGGCCTCAGCGGAAACAGCAGGGACATCTAGGGCCGTGTGGGTGAGGATGGGGACTTGGGACTCAGACACACCGGAGTTGCAACTGGGAGCGGCCACCTGTTATCCCTGTGGCCTTGGTCGGGTTATATAACTCTGAGCCTTGATTTTCTTTTCTAATTGTTATTTTGTAGCAATCTCAAACTTAAGGAAAAACTGCAGGCGCAGTACTATTTTTCTTTCTTTTTTTTTTTTTGGTACCAATTTTTTCCTGAACCTATGAGAGCAGGTTGAGAGTGTCCAATAGGACACTCCATTACCCAATTTTTTTAAAAATTTTTTTTCTCTAAATGTTTTATTGTTATGTTAATCACCATACATTACATCATCCGTTACCCAAATCTTTAATTGATATTTCATATAAAGATGTTTTCCTATACAACCACAATATAATTATCAAGGTCAAGAAATCAACTCTGATTCATTCATATGTGATTTTTGCTAAAATATTTTTAAAATACTAAAATATTATTTCATCATTTAAGTCATTCGTGTAGCTCAATGCCAATATATAAAAATGTGTCATGCATAATTCTAATAAAATGACCCATCTAATTAGCTACCTGGCCTTCTTTCTCATTCTGTGCCCACCACTCCCCTTTCTGCAACTTCTGACAGAGAATGCTCCAAGTTCACAGGACTGGGAGTGATTTTCCTGTCTTTCTTTGATTGTGACTTTTCTCCTGTCTGGAGTATTCTGACTGCCCTTCTGCCACAAAAAAAATAAAGAGAGAAGGAGGGAAGGAGGGAGGCAGGAAGGAAGAATTAACATTGATATAATAACTCCACATAACCTCCAGGCCCTGCACAAAATTTGCCCCCAGTAATGTCCTTTATGGGAAAAGGATCCAGTTTGGATTCTGTGTTCCATGCAGTTGTCATGTCTGTCTCCTTAGATCTCCTTAAATCTGAAACGGTGCCAAAGCCTTTCCTTAATTTCCGTGGCCTTAACACTTCCTGGTGCTAACAGGTTAGTTGTGGACAATGTCCCTCAGTTTGCATTTTTCTGATGTGTTGTCTCAGGAAGAGATTCCGGTTCTGCCCCTCCGGTAGGAACATCACAGAAATAACGCTGCGCTCCTCTCATCACCTTCTAGCGGGTGCCCGGATTTCAGTTCCTCTCAGTAATGATGATGTTCACTCAGATCATTTGATTGAGAGGGTGCGGGCCAGATTTCCCCACCATAAAGTTAGCTCTGTTTCTCTTTTTAACTAATAACCCTTTCGTGGGAGCTATTTCAGTGCTGTGTAAAGATCCTGCTCCTCAAACTTCCTCTTTTTATTTCATTTATTTATTCGTTTCAGTGTGGAGTCATGCCTGAGGCATACCAAACACAGGCTGGACGGAGGCTGTCAATTCAAGGTGCAGGTGATAAGGGGGTACATTATCTGTAGATAGTTTAAAAAAACACTATCTGCATGGGGCGCCTGGGTGGCTCAGTCAGTTGGGACTCTGACTTTTGGTTTCGGATCAGGTCATGATCTCAGGTTCCTGAGATCGAGCCCGCATCGGGCTCCGCACTCAGAGGGGAGTCTGCTTAAGACTCTCTCTCTCCCTCTGCCCCTCCCCCTGAAATAAATTAATAAAACCTTATAAAAAGATAAAAACACGATCTGCAGAGAATTTACTAGCACATTGCACCAGCAACTCTTAATGACGTCTTCAATAAAACAGTCCTCCCCCTTAAAAAACGTTTGTTTCTCCTCGTTCTGACACCTATTCCGGGCCACCCCCTGTATGAGGACATCACCTTCACCGTGTCCAGGCTGTGCAGCCCACACCAAGCCACCTCACAGTAGACGCTTTCCCTCCACGCTGTCTTCCTCCCAGTGACAGGACACCTTCCTGTTCTCCCTCAGCGTGATTGAAGCCAGAAAGCAAGCATTTCCAAGGGATGGGTGAAGTCAGGCCAGAGAGGAGCCAAGTGGAGGCCCCGCTCTCCCCCTGTGGACAGGCCCTGTGCTTCCAGGCAGATCTGAGACCGCTACATACTTACTGCCCAGGAACATCCTGGCCTCCCCTCTTGTCCAGCTGCCCCGTGGTTCTAGCTGAGTAAGGAGTCCATATGGGGCTGCCTCGAGCTAGCTATCATTTTGGATCATCACAACAGCTTGATGAGGTGTGCAGGAAGCAAATCCTCGTCAGAGAATTAAGTCAGCTGAGGCTAAGGGAGGTTGCGTGAATTGTCTGGGTCACCCCAACAGTGGCTTATTGCCCATGTCTCCTTTTATCCATTTTAAAGCCTCTGCCATAATATTCCCACAGTCAAAGGGGTGTGCTTATGCCACTCATGCCTACAGAGAGGTAGAGAAGCAAATTTCCTAGTTAACTATAGCTTAAGGTCTAATCTCAGGAATCTGGGGGGCAGCCCAACATGAAGGAAAAGAGAATTCCAACTGTTCCCGGAGACGGTCAACACATTAGACACACACACACACACACACACTACACACACACACACACTACACACACACACACACACACACACTACACACACACACACACTACACACACACACACACACACACTACACACACACACACACACACACACACTACATTGGTGTCTCGACAACAAACGTCATTTGATTAAAAACAGAATTGCACAACAAATAAATCTATTTCTATTACCTAAAAATGCCAATTTATTTAAAAATTCACTTTACTTGTTTTTCCTAACACCGTATCAACATAACCTTTCTTTTTTCAAAAAAAAATTTTATTCGTTTGTTTGAGAGAGAGCAAGAGAGATTGAGAGGAACGAGTGGGGGAAGGGCAGGTGGAGAAGTAGACTTGGAGCCTGACGTGGCGCTCATCCCAGGGCCCCAGGATCATGACCTGAGCCAAAGACAGATGCTTAACCAACTGAGCCACCCGGGCGCCCTCAACATGGCCTTTCAGCTGTTACCTTTCAACTCCACCCTTAGCTTTTCCCATACTATCTCGTGTGCCTTCTAAACTCCATAGAAACACACCATGTTTTAGGCATTTTCTTTTTTTAGCCTTTATTGAAATATAATTGACATATAACATTGTGTGAATTTAGGTGTTAGGTTGAGACCCTCACATATCATGAAATGACGGCCCCTGGAAGTCTCGCTGTTAGCCTTCATCACTTCACATATTTGCCACTTCTTTTTTTGTGGTGAAAACATTTAAGATCTACTATCTTAACAATTTTCAAGGATATAATGCAGTGTCATTAACTAGAATCACCATGCTGTACATCAGATCCCCAGAACTCATCTATTTTATAACTGGAAGTTTTTAGAGTTTGACCAGTGACTCCCCATTTCCTCCATCCCCCAGCCCCTGGTAACTACCTCTCTACTCTGTGTCTATGAATTTAGGGTTTTTTAGATTCCACATATAGGTGATATCACACATCATGTCCGTGTTGTGGCAAGTGGCAGGATTTCCTTTTCTTTTGGGACTGGATACTATTCCATTGTCTACACCACACCTTCTTTGCCCATTTATCCATAGACACTTAGGTTGTTTCCATGTCATGAATATTGTAAATAATGCTGCAGTGAACAGGGGAGTGCACATACATCTCTCATAACCTGTTTTCATTTCCTTTGGCAATGAAACCCAGAAGTAGGATGGCTGGATCATATGGTAGTTCTGTTTCTAAATTATCAAGGAAACTTCATACTGTTTCCCATCGTG